CCTAAATCGCCTTAGTGTGCCTTAAGCAAAGGCACATTAAGTTTAGGTGTGCATAAATACATGTATAGACATGCTCAATGTGTATGCAGTATCTTACTTATCCATACTAAGGCTTTGCTCCGTTTCAGGTAACAAGGATAATGATAGGGCATAAAATAAACATTTTCCTTCATTATGTTATAGTCTGTGCAGTAGGCTATCCTTTTTAGGACCCTTCACTAGTCCCCTCACTTCAACTTTTTCTATGACAGATCTGTGCTCCACATCCTTGTGGGATAAGATACAACAATACAACCTGTTTCTGCTTGGGTCTCCAGGTTCCCCTGGGAACCAGCTGTTACTTGACAGACTTTATGGATAGGGGTGCACCAATAAAGATTGAAGAGCAGCTTCCAGCTGGTAAGTCTGGGCGAGGAGCGGTATGGAAGGAGGGGGTATTGAGGCCCCCATGGGGAGGAAGGGAGTAGGGCTAGGGCAGGGGCAAGCATTGCCCAGCCAGGGCGGGGCAGGGCATGGGACAGAACCACGGGTGGCTCATCCAGGGGGCAAAGGGGTGCAGGACTGTTTCCGCCACTGTATGCACCCCTAAGGGAGGCATGCAAGCATGTGCCCCCCGGATCTGTGAGAGGGCAGGCTGCCCACTGCAGCCTCTAGCAGGGGGGGCTGAGCCAAGGCTGTGCTTGGGGCAGGTTATGGCAATGCTGATAGGGGAGGTTACGGGAGGGCTACAGCCACCTCAAAATTCACCACCACTCTGTAACCCCCTTCCCAGCACCACCATGGCCCACCCCACCCCACCCGCTCCAAGTGTAGCCCTGGCTCAGCCCCCACCCACCGGGAAGAGGCCAGCGCAGCCTCCAGCCCTGAGCCTGCCCTGACCCCATGCACAGATCCAAGGGGGAAATGCCCCCCATGCCTCCCCCAGGAGTGCATGCAGCATCCAGGAGCTGACCCTCACCACCCTGCAGGATGAGCTACCTGTGGCTCTGTCCTACACCCCTAGCTGGCCAGTGCCTGCTCCTGCCCCATCCCTACTCCCTCCCTCACCCCTTCCCCCCCACAAATGTATCGGCAGGAGGCTGCATTCTTGCCTGTGAGCATGCTACATCTCTATGCATGCACACAGCATTTATCAATGACATTATTGGCCACATCTGCCAAAAAAAGCCAACAGCCAATAATGTCAATTTTCCTTTTATTGGTGCCGATACAATATGGACTTATATATTGGTACACCTCTACTTATGGGCAAGAATTTTTCTTCAGGAGCCTGTGGATATTAATAATATGCAGTGACAGAGAAACAGCTCTTCAGAACAAAGTATAGGCAATCCCCGCTTAACACTGTTTTGCTTAACACTATTTTTCTATAACACTCATTTTACCTGATTTCACTTTACCTGATTTCACTTAGCGCTCAGTGAGTTTCGTTATAATACTCATGGTCGCCATATTGGGTCATTAAAAACAATTGTGATTGCCATACTTTTGGTTTTGCTTAATGCTTCTTTCACTTAATGCTTGGTTTTTCAGGAACCAATTAAGAGCCCTAAGCAGGGGTTGCCTGTATCGTTTACTCTGCCAAAGGCTCACAGCACTGGAGAAATGGATTTAAAACCACAAAGAGACCTACATGCCTAATACAAATTCTGCTAAACCCTTATGTCAACCTGCCCCAGGCCTGCTGTCTCTCTGGCCTCTAGCAGATGTTAAATTTAATGGCAAGGTATGATCTGATCTGATTCATGATAGGAACACATGCCCTACCCTGCCCAACTGGTTCAGGGTGGACGAGAACCTGACAGTGTTTAATACCGAAAAATACAAGGTTCTCCACCTTGGGAAGAAAAACCTGCAGCATCCTTATAGGTTTGGCAGTGCTACGCTGCCTAGCACTACAGATGAAAGGGACTTGGGGGTCATGATCAACCACAAGATGAACATGAGCCTTCATTGTGATGCTGAGGCTAGTAAAGCGAGCAAAATGCTGGCTTGCATGCATAGATGCTTCTCAAGCAAATCCCGGGACATCATTCTCTCATTGTACTCGGCCTTGGTGAGGCCACAGCTGGAGTACTGCATCCAGTTTTGGGCTCCATGATTCAAAAAGGAAGTGGAGAAGCTTGAGAGAGTCCAGAGAAGAGCCACATGCATGATCAGAGGTCAGAAGAACAGACCTTACAATGACAGGCTGAGAGCTATGGGACTCTTCAGATCTGATGGCTACCTATAAATTTATCAGGGGTGATCACCAGGATCTGGGGAACGTTTGTTCACCCGAGCCCCCCAAGGGATGACAAGGTCAAATGGTTATAAACTCCTGCAAGACTGTTTCAGGCTGGACATTTGGAAGAATTTCTTTACTGTCTGAGCCCCCAGGGTCTGGAATAGCCTGCCATCAGAGGTGGTTCAAGCACCTTCTCTGAACACCTTCAAGAGAAAATTGAATGTTTATCTTGCTGGGATCCTGTGACCCCAGCTGACTTCCTGCCCCTCGGGCAGGGGGATGGACTCTATGATCTTCCAAGGTCCCTTCCAGCCCTAATGTCTATGAAATCTATGAAACTGACCTTAAACTGACCTAACATGGCCAACTGACCTTTCAACTTGCCAGTACATTTAGAGCTGTGCACGGTGTAGTGAGTGGCACTGGTCTGAAACTGCTAGGCAGGGGGAGCAAGTTCATGTGATGCATCTGGCAGCCCCAGCTTTGATCTTAACCGGCTGGGGGACCTAATCAATTGCCCCTTGCCTGGCACTTGCACTCCAACCATCCCTAATTTTTAGACCGGGAAGCCTGCAATCTCCAACAGAGATAGGGCTACATCCCTCTCCATGCCAACAACCATCTGATTGTCAGAATAAGTAAGTGCTGTGCCACATATTTAATTTAAGGTGCCATATGAACCAGACACATCAGTGGCTGGCAACCTTTACAAACTGTGGGCTGGAACAACCTGGATTCAATTTGACATGGGCTGGTGGGTTTCAGCAACAGGGAGCTTTGTCTGCACCCGCACAGAGGCCAAGCAACTGGGAGCTGAACATGTTTTGCCACTGTTTCTCTTCACTGCCTCTGGCCACCAGCTGGAAGTTGAGTCCACACCACAGCCTGGGGAAGCAAGGTAGGGGGCAGGAGGGATGCAAAGAAAAGTGGTGGCAGGTGTATGAAGCCAGAATGATTTCTACAGTTAAAAATTAAGGTCTGATAACCACCTTTTCCAGCTCAGTTCAGACAACAAGGCATAGAACTGAAAGGTGAATTCAGAACAATTTCTATTGTTAGAACCACAGAAAAATAGAAAATTAGGGTTGGAAGGGACGTTTAGAGATCATGTAATCTAACCACCTGCTCAAACACGGGGTTGGACTTGCTTAAAACAAAGTACTCTGAGGGAGGAAGAACTTGGTGATAGCAACAGATAAAATATGTATATCTTTCTCACACTGCTTAACAAAAAAAAAAAAAAAAAAATCAAGCAAATTTCTGCAATAATCAAAATGAGATATTATCAAAGATACTGTTTGGGGAAACTCCTTAATTCTCTTCAACGATAGAAACATGGCAACATTTCACATAGAAATCTTGTGGCCTTAAGAAATACTTTTGAAATGGAACAATGGAATGAATTATATGTTAATAATGCAACAGTGACTTGATGATATATGTTTGAAAATGGATGAACATGTGAACAGCTTTTCTTGAGGAAAATGTATCTTATACGTTTATAGTGACAGGTTCTATAAATGTCTGTCCAGATAATTTTGACTTTAAGCCAAAAAGAGCAAGTAACTTAGTTAGACTTCCTCTTAAACTCATCTGAAACTCCTAATGTCTATCAGGTACCCCAAGTCACTTGGAAAAAGAAAATAAAAAATACATAGTCCTCATTTTCCCACATTATAGCATAAGTGTTGACAAGCCTATAGTCTAGAAACAATCTAATGAACCTTTTTAGGACTTAGTGCTAGTATTCAAAAACAGATTAGAGGATGTAAATGCCAACTGCCATTTCAAAATTCTGACTACAGCTCACATTTAATTCCATTCATTTCACTTTAGAATACCTGGATGCAGTACGTGTATAAAGCATCCCAATGCAAACTGGAAATAAGGTTATGGATCCAACTGATTCTTACAAAGTATCTGAAATTAAGACAAAGATGATAGAAATATTTTGTTTTGTTTCGAGGATTGACAGCATATGGCCTTTGAGCTGAGTCCAGACCATGGAACCAGGGAGCTTTGGTGACATGTTGGAGGTATTCTGGCAGTGAGTGAGTGACTTTGCCTTTGATGGGGCTATGCAGTGAGAAGCTGTGCCTGTGCCACAACTGGGGGGCTGCACAGGGAGAAGTGGCGGCAAGGAAAAGCTGTGGTGGCAGCCAGGTCAGAACAACAGCGCATCTTGGACAAAAGTCAGACTGTTCCAGCCTTCAGCTGCAAAAAGTTCTCAACTGTTGATCTTTTTGGTTCCTTTGTATATTTGAACCTGACTAATTTAGGACCCCGTGAAGTGAAGTAGTTAAGCACATGCATAAAAGGCATGCGGGTAATCCTACTGACTTCAGTGGGCCAATCCAACTGCTTCAAATCAAATATGCAATTGCTTTGTGAATCAGGATCATCAATAGCACCCTTAGCACTCAAGAGATAGGAAACTGCTCACAGAACAACATTCATATCTTTTCTTGAAGTGCCAAAACCTCCATTTTGCCTAGGTTATACATTTTTTGTGTGTGACCCACTATAACTCCAATGTACTTTTATTAATTAAACCTATACAGAGAGCTTTAAGGCTGGCTGCTACTTCAAAGGCATAATAAGCCAGTGCAAGAGGAAAGATCCTGCATTAAACGAAAAAGAAAATCACAAGACCTTGGTCCATGGGATAAAACAGTTTAACATTCCACTGTCTGCAATGAATATTATAATATAAATTCTAATATTATAAACTTAAATATTTGACATCCGTCATTAGCTTTTTAGGATAGTTTACCTTATCTTTGATTTTGTCAGCTCTGGTATCCAAAAGCTGGTTTTTGTTTTGATCCTGGTGGCATTTGTGACTTCCCCCTCCTGAGGTTATAGCCTTTGCCTGTCCTGCAGAGCTTGCAGTGGTAGTAGATAATACAGATGTACTGATGCCAGGTACAGATGTTGTACTGTTTCCATTTACTGATCCATTCACACCTTAAAGAGACAAAATGGCATTAACAGAATTGCATGCATCAAACACTGGTTTCTTTCGTGAACTTTGGACAGATTAGCCTCCACTGGGTGTACTAATACCCCTTCATTAGGTATGTGAGTCATAAAAGGTAAAAACATTTAGCATTCTGTATGTATTTCTGCCCAACGAGCAATTTGAGGTTTATGTTGTTTAAGTAAAATATGCTCAGCATGTATAAGGAGAAGGATTACTTGAGCTATCTGCAGCCTCCGTCGGAAATCGAGAACTGTATATTTTCAATAAACAAATTTGGAGCGTAATCAAAATAGATAAAAAATAATATGTTTCAAAATAAAGGAACAAATTGTACACACACACGACAGCTTCCCTAGGATACTTTTGTGTTTGAAAGGTATATAGAAAGGCATATGCGGACAGACTCTGAAGAAAATTGTGTCCAGGCCAAGAAGCTGCTTGGACTAGAGAGATGTACAATCGAAAAAAATAGAGTTGTAGGAAACCCAACTGGAATAATATCTAGATCAGGGGTGGGCAAAATAAGGCCCTGCCAATTGATCCTATCCAGCCCATTGGCTGCTGCTGCGAGCCTGAGGAGGGAGGGTTGCACCCTGCACCATTCCACTCTGGGGCAGCCCAGGATCAGGCCACGCAGTGCACAGAGACCTCAGCTCCCACCCGCCCTTACCCGGCTTCCTGTTGGCACTGTGGCTGTGTAGTCCTGGCACCGAAGTTGGGCCTGCAATGGATGGGGCATGATGCAGCATGCTGAGTAGCCAACCCACCTGCCCATCCACTAAGATGAGCCACTGTCACCGCAGCGCCACTGGGTGAGTCTGTGCTGGCCGCAGGAGTGGGGGCAGGGAAGTGGAGGGAAAAGGGGGGCAGCTACCCCCAACTTTCCTGGTCCAGCGCAGCAGCAGCAGTGTATTGTGGAGAGCGAGCAAGCAAGCAGGACAGCTACTCGGTATGCTGCATTGTGCTCCATCCCATGCAGGCCTGGCTGCCAGTGGCCATGGTGCCAGGACTATGCAGAGCATCTCCCTACCCCTCCCAGCCCTCAACAGCTCACCAAAACTCATTAAGAGGCCCTCCAGCCCAAATAATTGCCCACCCCGATCTGGGTTGTGGTTTAACAAACTAGCTATCATGAATTAGAGTTTTCTCAAGAAAGTATCGTTAAAACAAGCAAAGTTTTTTATTCCAAAGCAAACAGACTCAAGGGCATTGGAGAATTTGAAAAACATTCCTGAAAGTATCCCACCTACCAAGATCTCAGCATGAAGCTCTGTCAGTACAGAAATTGTATTTGCATACTATCTATATAGGATGTGTAAAGGCACTGGATAAACTATGGTTGCAAATTTTGCAAATTCTTAAACACAATTTAAGAAACTTGAAAGCCAATTCTAACCATTGTAACTTCACCTGTTTGAAAAAGCCAGCACTCAGTCATGTAAGCTTCTACAATGCATCTTACTAGGCCTCAAATTCTGAACTCAGCACCCACTTCAAATAGCTGGGCTTAAGAATAGGTGCTGGATGTAGTGAACATTAAGAAACAGGAAAATTGCCTCCATCAGAATAAAGAACTTTCTGACAAACATTCATCCTCACCCATTGGGAGCTGGCGAGGACAGATTACACAACAATGGGACCCCCTTCCTTCTCCTACACACTACTGCTCAGGATATATGCACACCTTACAGAGTCCCTGACATAAAGCCTCACTGGAGAGTCATCGCTCCTTAAGGAGGTGGATCCTAAAAGCACAAGGGAAGTCCATTCTGGCCCATAGGAAAGGTAGCAAAAGGACTGAGAGATCCCCTTGGCTTAACAGAGAACTCATGGACCTCCTGAATCTGAAAAGAGAAGCTTAAGTGATAGAAATCGGGAACTACCACTAAGGAGGATTATGCAGCACTGGCCTGCACCTGTAGGGAGTGGACCAGAAAAGCCAAGGCTGAAAACAAACTCAAACTGGCTATGAGAATCAAGGACAATAAAAAGTCCTTCTTCAAATACATGGAAGTCAGAAAAAAAACAAGGGCAACATCAGACCCTTGCTGAACCAAATGGGGCAGCTGACAACTGACACCCAGGAAAAAGCTAATCTCAATGATTATTTTGTGTCAGTTTTCCACCAGCCCACAGGGATCACCCTGCCTGACAGGACGAAGGACTACCAGGTTAAGGGCACTCACATGCCTATAATTGGTGAAGATCTTGTGAGGAAACAGCTTGAGAGGCTGGACATCCACAAATTAGCTGGCTCAGATGAAATGCACCCAAGAGTGCTAAAAGAGTTGACTGACATCATAGCACGACCAATGGCAAGGATATTTGAGAACTCATGGCACTCCGGAGAGGTTTCTGAAGATTCAAAGAAGGCCAATATGGTGCCTGTCTTCAAGAAAGGAAGGAAGATCCAGAGAGCTACAGGCCAATCAGTTTGACCTCAATCCCTAGAAAGATTTTGGAAAAAGTCATCATAGAAAACAGGCTAATGGAAGGCAACATACTGAGAGATAGCCAACATGGATTTGTTGCAGGTAGGTCTTGCCTGACCTTCTATGACCAGGAGATGCATCACTTGGACAAAGGAAAAGAGGTTAATGACATATATTTAGATTTCAGAAAAGCCTTTGACTTGGTCTCCCATGATATCCTCATGGTAAAATTGGGGAACTGCAACCTCAACATCTTACAGTTTGATGGGTGGGGATCTGGCTCTGTGGTCAGACCTAGAGAGTGATAGTCAACGGAACAGAGTCAACATGGCTCAGTACTCGGACCAGTACTCTTTAATATATTCATAAATTATCTGGATTCGGGTGTCAGAAGTAAACTGGCTAAGTTTACGGACAACACCAAATTATGAGGAAGTGTGATCATGCCAGAGGATAGGCTGGCAATTCAGGCTGACCTGGACAGGCTTGCAAGGTGGGCGGATCAAAACCTGATGACATTCAACAGAGAGAAATGCAAGCTGCTCCACATTGGGGAAAGAACCTACATCATACCTATAGGCTCGCCAGTGCTACAATCACTAGCACCACAAAAGTCATGACCCCCCAAAAGAGACTTGGGGGTCATGACTGACCACAAAATGAACATAAGCCACCAATGCAATGCCGCAGCTGGCAAAGCAAATAAAACTCTGGCTTGCATCTACTGATGCATCTCAAGTGAAACCCAAGAAGTCATCCTCCCACTTTACTCAGCCTTGGTATGCCCACCGCTAGAGTACTGCATCCAATTCTGGGCTCCACAATTTAGAAAGGATGTGGAGAAGCTTGAGAGAGTCTAGAGGAGAGCCACATGCATGATCAGCGGTCAAGAGAGCAGGTGTTATGAGGAAAGTCTGAGAGGCATGAGACTCTTCAGCCTAGAGAAGTGAAGGCTCAAGGGTGATTTGGTGGCAGCCTATAAGTATATAAGAGGTGTGCATCAGGAACTGGGAGAACATCTGTTCACCAGGGCACCCCAAAGGAAGACAAGGTCTAACAGTCACAAACTGTTAGAAGACTGTTTTAGACTGGACATAAGGAAAAACTTCTTTACCATCCAAGTCTCCAGAGTCTGGAAGAGACTCCCCGCTAGAAGTGGTGCAAGCACCTACTCTGGATATCTTTAAGAAATGCTTGGCTGCTTATCTTGCTGGGGTGACCTGACCCCAGCTGACTTCCTGCCCCTTGGACAACAGGCTGGACCCAATGATCTCACAAAGTCCTTTCCAGCCTTAATGTCCATGAAATCTATTAAACTTCCTCTTTTAAGTGGAACAATATTCATTAGAGAGAAGCCTAGTTGTGAACTTATGTATCTGCCTCTTGACATTTTTTTCTTAATTTGTCGCACATTGTCCTAGACATATAAACAAAGGAAAACAAGAAGTCAGAAATATATTTCCTAGAAATGGTATTCAGTTATTGAAAGCCCACACACAGGTATCCGATGTTGTCATAATAAAATCATAATGATTTTAGACAAGGCAAGGCTGAGGATGGATTGAAAGTAAAACTCAGACACACTCACAGAAACAGATGGCGTAAGCTCAACCTGATTTTATTCATCCTACCACTTCAGCTATTACCTTTTTCTATGCTGCTTCGACTATTTTTTCCTGTAGTTCTTGAATGGAATGAAGTGGAATCGTGATTCTGAGTGGGAGGAGCAAACAGTGGTGGTATTCCCAGCAGTGGTGGAAAAAAGGCTGCCCCTGTACGGGTGTGCACATCTGTTGTTCGCCACCATTCTGTACCTCAAAGAAGAAGAAAAAAGAAAAAAAAAAACCTTAAACATTAGGTACCTCGAATCTTTTTCTCTCTTTTTTTTTAATTGTGCCCCAATCAACCCTTGATTTGTAATTTACAGTTAATTTACCAGGTTCTGGTTTTTGGCAATGAGGAGAGAGGAATTACCATGAAAGCCTCAGTCATTTAGGAGAAGTCTCATTGACCTTTTAGGAGACTTGTGGTCCCAAATCTTAAGTATTTTTTGACATTACACTATCATTTGTTTTGATGCTGAAAATATACACTTGGAAAAAAATCCAGAATACTAAGAATGTTGCATCAACATAGCTAATTTTTAGAACAGGGTCCATTCACGCAGGCCACTTCATAATTACTGTGGAGTAATTTACCTCAAATCTTACTCCACAGCAAATTTAGCTCCCACCCCAGTCTGCCTCATACAATGAAGTTTCAGAAGGGATCCTCACAGAACCATCGCTTAGCTGTTTTCTACACAGGGGAAATTATGCCACAACAGAAATGGGGCTTTTAGGTCTCTTTAGGCCACTTGTGCTCTTTTATGAAAAGTAGAGTACAGAGCAGCTAATGTACCACCCAGAAAATATAAAAATAAACAGATAATGTAACCAAGTGGGATATCAGCTTTTGTCTTAAGTGAGTCATAAAAACTCTTCAGACAGGCAAATCAAATATACAGCTTTGTGACATGGCTCCTTTATTATTAAGTTGAAGAGCATCTTAACATTTATATAGCACCTTTCATCTTCCCAAGATGCTGTAAACAACATACAAATGGTATCATTAACATGCAGTTCTACCTAATCTACAGGTTAGCAGTCAGGCAGACAGCCTGGCAAGCATATTAAGAATAGCCAGACAAGGGCATGTGGATTGACCCAAGAACCCCTTTGCTATACCAGGACCTTACTTTGAATGAAGAGAAGACCTCTTCAAAACATTCTTTAAAATAAATGTATCTATTTTGCACCAAATACACTAAGTCAAGACTGACCTTTTTAAAATCGTTTCTAAGGGTATGTACAGATGTTACACTTTGATCCACCTACATAGGGTTAGGTCGATCTAAGTGCTGATCTGTACATAAGCTTATAGAGGTTAGATCAGCCAAAAAAATAGCCAGCCTGATCTAAATTAGTTTACCTGAGGAGGTAAACTAAGATCAAGAACAGGTTAGCTTGATCTACCAAATGCCTGCTCATGTTGGATGCGTAGCCCCAGGGCTGGGAAAGCCCAACCACTTGCCCCAACCCCAGGCATGTTCTTTTGCTATTCCCCCCCGCAACCTAACAAGGATATTTTTAGGTCCCTGACCCTCTTGCCCCAGGTGGACAATGCCCTCCCCACCCCCACTATTCTGACTTAGACTGGGTTCCCAATGCAGTTCAAAGCACCAAATGCATGCACAGGCCAATCCTGACCTATGATCACACAGCTTAAAGTAAGCTGCACAATCGTAAATCAGATACACTGAACGCCTGCACATACCCTAAGAGACAAATTAAGAAGAGCAAGCTTTCCTTGCTAACCACCAATGGGTTACAACTGGTTAATGTTTTGTCAGAGAAAGACCTTTTATGAATTCTCTAATTTCTAAGGAAAAAAACCAAAAAAATGTGATGCTATGCTGTCTACAACAAACCTGGGGCTGGGACAAGATGCAGATATGCCAACATGACAAAAATATAACACGTTTAGATTATATACAACTCAAAGAACCAACATATATGTAGACTGCTCATAAAATAAAGTAACTGTTGAGATGGTGAACTTAACGACTCCCATTGAGACCACATGACAGCAGCTCTTTTGAACAGTTTGACAGACAGTAAGGAAAGACATTAAAAAATATTTTACACAAAATAACAAAAAAATAACAAAAAATCTGTCAGTATCACTGATCAGTCCAACTGGAGTATTAAGATTTTGGAAGAAGTTTCTACTGAAATAGTGAAATCTTATTTTATGCAAAACAATTAAAAGTATATAGAAAGCACACAGTAGGAACAAGTAGATGGACTAAAAAAACAAAATGTTTTTTCAGGCCAGCAGTGCTATTCTTTAAAACTCTTGAAAAAAAAAATCACTCCTTTAAGGTTTCATATACACCAGGGTTGCTCAAGCTGTGGCCCGCAGAGCTGGAAACATGGCAGTGAGGGAAGCGGTGGCCATTCATATGGTCATCACCCCCTGCCAAATTCCCAAATCACTGTCAGTCACAGCTGGGCCATATCTCCTCCCCAGCATCTGCATGGGGGTTAGGTCACACCCACTCTCCCTTTGCTGGGCTAGGGCCAGGCAATGTCTCCTTCCCCAGCCCCAAAGACTGGTCTGGGGGCAGGCCATGCCCTTTCCTCTATGGGGCCAGGCCATACCCCTTTTCCCCATGGAGCTGGGTTGTGGCTAGGCCACACCTCCTCCTCCCATGGGGTCAGTTTGGGGGTGGGCCTTGCCCCTTCCCACCCCCGTGTGGGCCAAGCCATGCTCCCTTTCCCCCATGGGCCAGGGCATCCCCCTTTCCACTCTGAGGCCAGGTTGTGGCTGGGCTGCCCCTCCCTCTCATGTGGCCAGACTGTGCCCACTGCGCTAGCCCCAGTGTTAGATTGGGACCATTGAAGGGATCCAGCCCATGCACAGGCAGGGCACTGCCCACTCAGCCCACCAGGAAAAAATGTTGAGCACCACTGATATATACAATTATGGTTTAAAAAAAACCCAAACAAACAAATTGCAGTGTTAGGAGATCCAAAGACATATTTTCAAAACAGCAGGAACTCTGAGCAAGTTCCACATGATTCATTTGGGAATATAAAGAATCTCTTGCTCAGCTGCACAGGAATTCTTCATTTTTAGCAAGAAATGACACCCACAAATTTCACAGAATATGAAAGATGGAAACTGCACCAATAGTACATTAATTCTGTTGTAATTTACAGATATAATTCTGCAGTAATTTTAGTGATATTAGAGGAAAGGAAAGTGAATATTAGATAATGGAAATGTAAGGATTACACGCACAAATCAAAAGCATTCATGAGAGTGAAAACTAGATTTTGAGCAATGTAAGTGAGATACAGACTGGGTTTTTAACTTGTCATTGTGTCTCTGAATAGGAAGCACATACACAAAACAAAGAATAACAAATTCACAGTACAAAATGATGGGAAAAGGATTATTACTGTTAAAATGCCATAGAAAATAAAGTTAGAATACTTGAGAAGTAACATGGAAGAACACAGAGAAAATGGGAATTGGGAAACAACAAAAATAACCCAGAAACCAACCATAAAAACTGCCTGTCCAAGATACAAAGATTCAAATTCAAAGATTTAAAATGCCATAAAACAGTGATATGCAGTAGTTAAAGTAAGCTTTAGACATTATATCTGACTAGTGAACTGCCTGTCAGCACTGACCTGGGTAACATGGAAGAACACAGAGAAAATGGGAATTGGGAAACAACAAAAATAACCCAGAAACCAACCATAAAAACTGCCTGTCCAAGATACAAAGATTCAAATTCAAAGATTTAAAATGCCATAAAACAGTGATATGCAGTAGTTAAAGTAAGCTTTAGACATTATATCTGACTAGTGAACTGCCTGTCAGCACTGACCTGG